CCAGACCCAGAGGAGGTCTTAATTTCCTTAGTGGAGGAAATTGAGGAACTGAGATAGGCAGAGAGCTCACACCCTACTGGTCCAGGCACTAATTTGGATATGCCTGGTGCCAGCCCTTTTTCTGGGCTGAGGTGTTAACCTAACCCTAAGAGGCCTAGAAGCGCTGGGTTCAGCTGGGTCCACAGAGCCCTTGCTGGGGGCCAGGACCTGGGCTGAACTTTGGGAATTCTAAAATGAATAAATACCTTTCCCTAGAATAGGTTAGACTGGGCGTACAGGGCAGCGAGTCATCCTGCTCAGAGGGTTCTGGGGAGGATTCTTGGAGGAGGCAGCATTGGAGCGGGTTCTTAAAGCTCAGGACGACTTTGACAGGAAGAGATGGGGGAGAGAGTGTTTAGGCATGGGGAACAGCATAAAGCAAAGGTTTGGAGGTGAGATTTATCAGGCACATTCAAGAAAGTGAATATTTACAATGTGAAAGGAAGACAGATCTGTGGAGCCTTGTAGTTTAGGTGTTGGAGCTTCTCCTGAGAAAGATGGAAGGATTAAGCAGAAATGACCTGGTCAGTTTATCTCTTGGCTGCTGAGTGAAGGGTGGATTGGAAACAGACTAATAGCCAGCACATGGAATGTCAGGCTCTGGGCTGGGTGCTTTATGTGTGTTAACTTAGAATGTTCACAATAATTTCTGAGGAAGGCACTATTATGCCCATTTTACAGAAAATGCAGGCCCAGAGAGGTTAACTTGCCCTGCCAACGTTGCACAGCTATTAAGTGGCAGTGTCAGGATTCTAATCTAGGGAGTCTGGCTCCAGAGTCCATGCTCTACCATGCTAGAGGCAGAGGGGCGCTGAGGAAGGTGTTGCAGGAATTCGGGTGAGAGATGAAGGGAAACTGAATGAGGTCAATATCCCTGAAGATGGGAAGAAATAGATGAAGTTGAAATTTTTAAGAGGCAAAATCTCCAGGACTGGTGGCTGATTGGATGAGGGGATTTGGGGACGGGGAGGAATTGAGGCTGAATCCCTGGTTTGTGGCCTGAGTGTTGGGGTGGATAGAGGTGCTATCGCTGGGCTTGGGAACCCAAGTTGGATCAGAGTGGGGGCTAGCAGGAGATGATGGGTTCAGGTTGGGACCTGCTGTGGTGTGGTACAGATGTCCTGAAGGAGGTGACCAGGGGGAGACAGGAATTCAGGCACAGACCAGGAGGGGGATGAAGGCTGGAGATCCTTGGAGGTCGTTGACCACAGAGGTGATTGCTGAAGCTATGATGGTGGCTGAGATTATGGCGTCCCCAACTGGCACTACTGGTGTTTACTGAGCAGGAGGCAAGAATGTCAAATGTCTTCCAATTAATGGGGCACTCAGAGCTAATAGTCCACACCTCCCATTTGAGGGTCACTGAATGACAGTGTGTAACCCTAGGGAAGGCCAGCGAGTGTTTGAGAGCAGGGCAGAGGGAGAACCAGTGATGGAGACAGGAGGAGCAGCCAGAGAGGTGGGAGCAGACTATGTTAGAAGCTCGGGAAGAAAGAATTTCATCGGGCTGGCTCCGTGGCTTAGCGGTTAAGTGCGCGCGCTCTGATGCTGGCGGCCCGGGTTCGGATCCCGGGCGCGCCCCGAGGCACCACTTCTCCGTCCAACCCGGGGCCGAGTCCCACGTACAGCAACTAGAAGGATGTGGACCTATGATGTACAACTATCTACTGGGGCTTTGGGGGGAAAAAAATGAATAAATAAAATCTTAAAAAAAAAAAAATAAAAAGAAAGAATTTCATCAAGAAGCAAGTGGTCAGGAAGTGTCAGTTGTCACAAAGGTGAGGAAGGGGCATGGGGTGGGAGCAGGGAGTTGGTTTGCGGGTGAGGCTGTGTAGGTGTACAAGTATTTGGAGTTGGAGGTGTTGTTTATGGGGTTACAAGTCTACAGAGAAGCTGTAGCGAGTAAGAGGGACTTTTAGGCCTACCTAGGTATCAGGAGGAGGACCTTTTTCTACCACCCTGTTAACAGTCATCACTATCCCTGCCGAGTCGAATTGGATTGAAGTTCCGGGTTGGGCCTGCTGCATTTCCACCTTCAGACAGGGAGGGAGGTCCCTGTTCTGAGGTCCTCACCCCTGGGGCAGATACCGGCTTGGTGCTCACCCAGAGAGGCCCGTGTCCCTTGGGCTTGGAGTAGGCCCGGCTGGGAAAAGCTTTGGCCCCCTGCCTCCTTTTAAGTCTTAATGCATCTTGCACTGGTCCTGGTGCCACTGGTGCAACTTGCTGTGTTTGGTTCCTGGCACTCACCCTAGGAACGTAGAGGATCCCTGGGCAGCAGAAGGAGGAAGAAGACAGGGTGGGGGGAGGGGGCTAGTCCTGGCTCTGATAATGATGAGCTGTTGACCGTGAAGGTCCATCTGGACCTTGCCAGATCTGGGCCTCAGGTTCTGTCTCTCTGAAGTTGGCCAGATATTTTCGCTTTGACTCCTCAGGGGTGTCATGAGGACCCCACCACTGGGTTGAGCAGGAAAGCCCAAATATCATGGGGAGACCCGCTGCTCATGCCCACCTGGGCTGGCCTGCAGGGTGCACATTGGGACTGCCTAACCCGTTGTAAATTATTGAGATGCTTCCCTTCCAGCTGGTAAAGAGCTGCTGTCTCAAGCCGCCAGTGCTTTCCTCCCTAGACTGGCCCCTCCCCTAAGAGCCACCCTCCACTTCCCCACCACCTGGCAACTAAAGCAAGGGGTTTTTATTTTTTCGTATGTCATGGACTTCTTTTTTTTTTTTAATTTTATTTATTTATTTTTTCCCCCAAAGCCCCAGTAGATAGTTGTATGTCATAGTTGCACATCCTTCTAGTTGCTGTATGTGGGACGCAGCCTCAGCATGGCCGGAGAAGTGGTGCCTCGGTGCGCGCCTGGGATCCGAACCCAGGCTGCCAGCAGCGGAGCGCGCACACTTAACCGCTAAGCCACGGGGTCGGCCCATGTCATGGAGTTCTTCATTATCACCCGCTGAAGCCTATGGACAATAAGGTTTTTATGTACATATCATATATTGTAATCCTATATATTTTATATATTAAAATCTATATAGAGATATCTATATCTATTCTGCAGTACCTTTAACGTAATATGAAAACATCTGTGATTTCTAATCTGTGATTTCTCTCCATAATGACAAAGTCACAGATTCTACTAAAGCTATTATGATTTGTTGCTGCCATTCGTAATCGAGAGAAATGCTAAATTTGAGGTAAAGATGAATGAAAATGAAGGTGTAATTTCTTTATCCAAATTCATGGACCCATGAATTCTTTTTTTTTTTTTTTTTTTGTGAGGAAGATCAGCCCTGAGCTAACATCCATGCTAATCCTCCTCTTTTTGCTGAGGAAGACTGGCCCCTGAGCTAGCATCTATGGCCAAGGCTCCTCCTTTTTTTTTTTCCCCCAAAGCCCCAGTAGATAGCTGTATGTCATAGTTGCACATCCTTTTAGTTGCTGTATGTGGGACGCGGCCTCAGCATGGCCGGAGAAGCGGTGTGTCGGTGCATGCCCAGGATCCGAACCCGGGCCCCCAGTAGCGGAGCGCACGCACTTAACTGCTAAGCCACGGGGCCAGCCCCACAGATCCATGAATTCTAACCAGTTTTAGAACCTTCAGGTTTAGAGCCCCTGAACAAAAGGGTTAATTTTCCCAAAATAGGGGACTTCTTGACCATGCATCCATTCAGACTGTTGCTCATGCTAAGATGGTGGTTGAACACTTGGTGTGGAGTGGCCAGCAGGGGGCAGCATATGGGCGGGAACGTGGGCCTCAGTTCAGCCAGGAGTTGCCGCCGGGTTTTAAGTCTAAGGACCAGTCTGGTTACAAACAAACATGAGACCCAAAGACCTATGTGCTTGCCACCTGTCTTACATGCGCGGGGCCAGCTCACTCGTAGGTGTGCTGAATGGGCCCATGGGACAGAGGTCTGACTGAGTGTCCCTGGAGATCTCCTTTGCTCATGGTCTAGGCTGGAAGTGTAGAGTAGGTTTGAACGCCCAGAGTCTGAGGCTCTGAGGCAAGGAAGTAGACCCCAGTAAAGTTCTCCCATGAAACACTTGCCCTGTCCTTGGGGGCTTGGGCATCAAGATGGGGCCTGGGGTTGGTTAGGGCTGGGGTGCAACATTACCTGGGGGCTTGACAGCCTTCACTTCCTTCCTATACAGCCAGGGCTGGGCTGGGGCAGGTGTGTCCTTCTCTTGGGTGCTCCGGCTGGTTATGCCTTCCCCCACTCCCCGCTCCACCCTATCCTTCTAGCCCTGGACCCAGACTTAGAGCCTCTGGGAAGAAGGGTGCTGATGTAGGGTGGGGTTCACTTATGGGATCTTCTGCAGAGCTGTCCTTTGGGGCAGATAGATGTGTTGGCCAGCCCTCAGGTCTGGACCCTGGAAGAGCTTTCTATGCAGAGTCCCCACCTGTGGCTGCTCTGAGACTTGAGGTTCATGTGTATGCTTTTGGCTCCTACGTCTGCTCCAGCCCTGTTCAGGCAGAGTGTAGGGCTGCCTCTTAGGCTACCCTTTGGTGACAGCAGTCCACCTGGAGGTGGTACCTGGGAGGTGAGTCTAAAATGGGACCACGTGGGCCCCTGACTCTCCAGAGACCACCCTCCAGGGCCAGCAGTGCACACAACATCAGGTTATGCTCCATTCATGTCACCTGTGGAACCCAGAGCCCCAGCCAGGGAAAGATGGGGGGCAGGAAGGCACCGCTTAGACAGGGAAGTGACCCCTTTTGTGTGAGGAGATGGGGGTGCGAAGAGGGAGGGGATGGATCTCAGTAGGAAGGAGTATAGGGGGAGGGCATCTTCTCCTTTCTGTGGGCAGAGCAGCTGCTTCCTCGAATCCCTGTGGAAGTTCTCCTGGGAAGAGGCCCCGCCCACCTGCCTTCTCATCCTCCCTGGGCTGGTCAGGAAGTCCTCCTAGATTCCTCACTCCTTGGATTTGGAAACTTCAGTCTTCGGTAAGGGTTGGGGTGAAATCAGAGACCCAGGGTATCTACAGTCAGTGTGGCCTGACCTTTCTGCCCAGGAAAGGGAGGTCCAGAAAGGAAAGCTTAGTAGCTAAGACCACAAGACACTTGTTTTATTGTTCCAGGACAGGGGACAGTAACAAGCCATTGAGGGATCTGCTGTGCCTCATCTGAGCCTGGGCCAACCTCTGGGGGCTCTTGTCACCCCCAGTCCCAGGGTAGGTTGAGGCTCCCCCTTGGTGGGGGTTGGGCTCTCAGGTAGGGCGTGGCGGGCAACTGGGCCACACCTCCTAGCTCCAGGAGCATCCCGGGTCTGCCAGGCAGCCAAAGAGAGGGGCATGCGTACTCCCCTGCCAGCCTGTACCAGGCTTCCCTCCCCTGAATGCCCAGGCTGCCAGAGACAGTTTGAAGTAATTAGTGAGCTGGGACCTAAACTACATGAAATTCTTACAGAGAAGGAGTGATTGTAGTGACCTGGAGGGGCTCTTCCTGCACCCAGGGCTGGGGGAAGAAGACACTTTCAAGCTTCCGAGGGCAAGGGCTTTTCCAAACACTTTGTGTTGGAACTGGGCTCAGTTTGGTCCTGGGGTGCATATTACCCCTCCTGTGTGTCACCCTGGGGGAGGCCAGACAGAGCATATGCTGAGGATGGGTAGAGCCTGACAGAGCAGGTGCTGCTAACCAGCAGCCCCCTGAGGGGTCCACAGACAACTTGGGGAGAAGCTCCATATCTCCTTCTCCTGGATGTGCTTCTGGGATGAAGGTGGGAGAATAAATACAGGGGGCTTCTGGGAAAGATCATGCCTGGAGAGGGCCAGGCCTGCAGAGAATGTGGACATCAGAATAGGGTTCCAGGGTGGCCCTGGACCTGGCATGGGGGCCCTGAGCTTTTGGTAACCAAAGCCCTCAGCTCTCAGCAGCCCCAGAAATGAAATCAGGCTCTCAGTGATGTCGTTCTGATTCCTTGAGATATAAGGTATGTGGATGAGTGTCTGTCTGAATAACTCTGTGTGTTTGTGTGCATGTGTGCGTATGTATACGAGGGCTTAAGTGTGGATAAGTGTGAGCAAAGGAGAGTGCATTTTCTTCTTGCCCAGGCACTTGCTCTTCAGGGGCTCTGAGTGAGGAGCTGGCCCACTAGATGGCAGAGATATGTGAGGGGCAGCATCCTGGGTGGTCTTCTATCCCTCCAGGCGCCAGCTAACAAACAAGTTGACTTAGTGGCATAGGGGACAGGGAGTGTTGTCCTTCTTTGACCTTTAAGGTGAGCCTGTCGTGGGCGGCCAGCTGGGACTTCCAGGCCAGGTGAAGGCCGGAGCTGCTGCTGAGCATAGCTCATGCCAGGGCCATGGGCTTGGAGCTGGGGCTGAGGTACATGGAGGGGCCAGCAGGGGCTGCAGTGGGTGTGGGCTCCAGCTCCAGGAAGGCCGAGTAAAGGGTGGTGAGGTGCAGGTCACCCAGTGCCCCAGAGCCCCCGCTGCCTGGTGGTGCCACTTCGCCTGCCCCAATGCCTGTCTCTGTCAGACAGGGCCCAGGGGGGAAGCAGAGGCCTGGTGGCGGGGGTGGTGGCATTGAAGATGACGTGGGGGACGAGGTCACCAGTACCAAGGGGTCGAGGGCCAAGCTGTCATCCTTCAGCTGTTCCCATAGGTTTCCTAGGTGGAGGGGAGAACAGGCGTCACTGGGAGGCACCAAAGAGGCCCTGACTGCCCTCGCCCCCCACAGCTCTCACCTGCTCACAAGAGGTAACACTGGGGTAACACTGGGGTAACATTGACTGGAGACAGGCCCTTGGCACTAGCTGTGTGACCCCAGGCAGCTGCCAAACGTCTTTAATTCCTCCTCCCATGCAAGGATGGTCTGAAAGCCACAGCCCAGATGATCTCTGTGGCTCTTTTTTGGGGTCAAGGAGAGGGTCAAGGATTTGAGAGTGCCTATTGGAAGGGTTAAGGCAGATGCTGTGCACTCCAGGGTTAGCCTGGGGAGGGAGCCCCAGGAACTCTTCACCTGGCTCCTGCCCAGGCTCCCCAGGAGGATGGGTCTGCTGTCCAGACCAAGGATCGTCCAACAATGCACTGCTGGACCCGATGAGGTTCGGCTCGGTTCTCTGGGCCTCCTCCACTGCAGGGCCCAAGGGATGGGAGCAGAGCTGGGAAGCAGTGATCCTGGGGAGCAAACAGTGCTGCCACCTGATCCCCCCTTTGTGTCATGTGACCTGCATCATGGCAGGCCAGGGCCTGGCACTCCTAGCCTGGGTATCAGGCTGCAGGGTCTGGAGAAAGGGAGCAAACTAAACCCTGGACTGAACTTGGCTGCCTGGGTTCCAATCCTAAGTCCCCTTCTTTCTAGCCAAGTGACCTTGAATAAGTTACTTAACCCCTGTGCTTCTGTGAAATGGGTTTAATAATCCCTCCTATGCTATGATAGAGCACGTGTAAAGCAACTCACATGATGCCTGATAGTTAGTAGGGGCTCAAGTAAATGTTTATGGTGCCCACATGTCTATAGCTTCCTCTCAGGCTGTTGAGCCTGCTCCCCACTGCTGGATGGTGGTGAGGGTCTAGCTGCACTTTTCTAACAATAGCTTCCCAAGATCTGGGCTGTCTCCCCATCAGACTAGGAGTTCTCTGAGCATCAGCTGCCTCCACCTGCTTCTGGATGTCTCCTACCCTAGTACACACAGATCTGAGGCCTGGGTCAGCACCCTCCTCCAAACGTCCTGTGGCCAGTGCCAGGGCCTGGGAGTGCACTGGAGTGTAGACGGGAGTGGGTGGGCTTGGCATCTCTCATACGGAGATGGAGCAGGCCAGATGGAATGGAATAGATAGAACCTTTCCCTGGACTCCTATCCCCAAATCTCTCTAGGACCTGCCTAGCTCTGAGGCCTTACATTCTTCTGGGGGGAATATGTCTCTGCATTAAAAGATGACCTCTGAGAAAATGCAGCCACTTCTGGGAATGTTCAGACTATCAGTCACTCACAACCAAGTAAGTATGGAATGAAACATCAGGCCCTTTCCAGCCTACCTAGAGTTGAGAGTGGTTTGATGATGGGGTTAGGTAGAACGTGTTCAGGGGTACCAGCAGGAGGGAGATGGGGGCAAGGACATTCCTCTTTGTCTCTTGACAACCTCTGCCAGCGTGGGCCTTCTCTGCTTTAGTTGACCGGAAACCTGGCAGCTAGCAGCTGCAGCCTGGGGACTTGGAGGGGATGGGCCACACTGCCAGATGCACCTCTCCAGTCCTGTCCCTCCTCCCCTTTCCCACCCTCAGCTCACCCTGGAAGTCAAAGTCGGTGAGAGAGGGGTTGATGGCATCCAGGTCAGTCCCAAGGTCTCCATCTGGCAGCAGGGTGTCATGCATGGTCCTGGCTGGGGAAGGCTCAGCCAGCAGCTTGGTGCTGTGGCTCGGTGGGGTGTGGGCTGGCAGAGGCGAGTCCTGGGGGGTGTCCGGCTGGGCCCGCAGCTCAAGGTGCCCATCTGGCTGCGGGAACAATGGCTGCGGAGGTCCAGGAGGGGCCAGGCCCGGTGAGAGGTGCGAATACGTCTGCCCATAGCAGGAGGGTGCGTGTCCCCCAAGTAGGTCCTGCAGGGGGTTCTTGCCAGGAATGGGGCCCGGAGCTGGGTGGATTGAGTGCAGTGGCTGGGAGAGCCCAACTGGAGGTGCCAGGGGCCGGATGGGGCCTGAGCCTGCCAGCCCAGGGGGTGGGCAGCCCAGCAGGGGGGAGCCCAGCTTCTCCCTCTTGTCTCCAATGAGGCTGTCCAGCTCTTCTGAAAAGGCCCAAGAGAGAGGGACACCATGAGACCTCCCTTTCCCTATAAGCCCTCCCCAGCCTTGGAATCTCACTCATCAACTCTCCTTGCTCAGCTTTTCTCTGCCTCTTTTTTGGCTCACGGGTACCCCAGGCCCCCCACCGCCCCCTGCGTGGCCCGTCAGCCTCACCTGGCTTGGCCATGCTTTTGCGCACTGCAATGGGGTCTTTCCTCTTCCACTTCTGCAGCTCCTCCTGCATCTTGTCGATCTTGGCCGGATTGAGGGCCCACAGACAACCCTTGCGAGAGGAACTTCCTGATTTGTTCTCCACCTTCTCGAAGCACTTGTTGAGAGACAGGTTGTGGCGGACAGAATTCTTCCAGCCATCGGGTGCAGTCTGCCAGAGCAGAGCAAGACAAGAATTCAGGCTGGGGTCCGGTGTGGGCTCCAAAAAACTCCTTTGCCCTCTGGGCACAGAACTGCCGCCCACTCTGGCGCTTGTTGTCCTCCTCAGCACCCAGTCCACACTTGGTACCCTTCAGTGGTGGGGAAGGGCTGGGCAGGAACCTTCAACACAACTTATTTTCATCTAAAATCTGCGTTCATCCTACTGCCATCCCTGGCAGCCCCTTGAGAGGATTGTCGAGATGATTCATAAAAGGAGGACTGGTGGGTGCTATAGGCCTCCGGCCTGTCCCCCATCTGCATTCGGACCACCCCCCACTGGGTCTTCAGGCCTGTGCTTGGACCCTCTGTGGAAAGGGAACTCACTAATCTGAGGTTTCTGGTGCCAGCTTTGGAGAGGGAATCAGGGGAAATGAAGGAATGCTCTTTTCCTGGGTCTGCCTCATCCATGCTGGGGCAAACCCTGGAGAAAAGAAAGACGGGTGAGGTTGGTGAGTGTTTGGGTGTGTGCTCATCGTGTTGCACGTACGTTTGTGTGAATATCTGGGTTTTGGTGAGAGAGAGAGAGAGAGAGAGAGAAGCTATGTGTAGGAGCATGCACGTGTCCGTAAGCGTGGCTCCCTGGTGGGAGCTTGTCTCCTGGGTATGGGTCTGTGGATTCCTCTGAGTGTTAGGGTGTGTGCGTCCCTGAGGATGAGTGTGTGTGAGAAAGTCTCTCTGGGTGTGTGTGTGGGTATCCATGATTGTATGCATGTGTGGGTGTGAGTATTCATATGAGTGTGCCTGGGGGGAGTGCACTGGTAGGGAGGCCAGCCCTCAGGCAGGGGGTGCTCGTGCCAACAGAATAAACACCCATTAGGAGGCCCGGTCATGCCACCAGTGCAGTAATTGTGCCCAGGGAGGGTTGTAAAAACCATTAGGCTGACTCAGTTGGGTGAGAGGCGGTGGCTGGGGAGGCAGTGGGCACCCCTGTCCCCCTACCTCCAGCTCTGTTCCAGGATCCCTGACAGTCCTGGGCCCAGCAGGGGCTGACTCTGGGCAGAGACCTGCTCTGGCTGATGGGGCCCCTTTACCCTTACCCCCTGGCCCCTCTCCCTTTCAGCTCACAGTTTCTGCTTAATGAGGGGCGGCCACTCCCTCCTCCCCAGCTCACTTGCCTCAGGGAGCAGCCAGGCTGAATCACGCCCAGCAGAACTGGGCCCTGATGCCAGCATCACTACAACTTGCTGGTAGGAGCTGCTAGAGCCTTTTTTAGGGGCAGCTGGCCTGGGGTAGGGGGTTGGTTGATATAACCCCCAAGGCTCCCGGGGTCCCAAGGGAGGATTCTTGAGCCACCAGACCAGCCAACTGGGGATTCACCTTCAACTCCCCCCACAGTCCCTACTAGGAGTCAAGGCTGTGTCACCCGATGGGCAGAGTTAATGGGCACTGGGCCCTTTTATGGCCCCATAAATCTGTGACTTCGGGATGCCAGGGCAGCCCCCAGCTCAGCTACTTCCTGTTTGGAAGAGTGATGGTCAGCACTAGCAATTATGTCCAGTGGCTGGACACTTCCCCAGTCCCACATCCCTGACTCCCGGGGCTACAGGACGCCCACCTCAGCTGCCTCGGGCATGAGTGTTGCCCACCCAGGGTCCACTCTGTCCTTGCCGAGAAAAATGACCTTCAAATGGGGAGTGAGAGATAGAGGGGACAGGGGATCTTTGAACTATTTCCTTAGGTGGGTCAGAGGGGAACTGTCAGAGTTGGAAGGAATCTGCGTGCCCACTGGTCCAACCTGACCATTTCACAGATTGGGAAGTTGAGGTCCAGAGAAGAAAGGGGCTGGCCCTAGATCACACAGGGAGGCAGTGACAGCCCAGACTCCAACTCTGTCGCCTAGTTAAGGGCCCTGCCCAAGTCACACCATAGGGCTGGTGTCACCATCTGGGGCCCGTCCCATCCTCACAGATGCTTTCTCTCTGAGGTCAAATGTAAACTCGGAGGGAAGGGGTGATACAACTGGCTAAGAACAACAACTAGAACCAAAAAAAAAAAAAAAAAGCTGTTAGACCTCTTTACTCCTCAGCCTCATAAAACAGGGATTACACAGCTCCCAGGAAAAATAATTAAGCCAGGAAGAGGAGATGCAGGGAGGAACTGGGGGCCAGCTGGGAGTTGGCAAGGAGGAAAGTCTGAGGAGCAGGGCAGGGCCCTCACTAACCTCTCTCTGGCCTGGTCCCTTGAAGCGCTTAGAGGACCCTCCAAAACCTTTAGGGATTAGGGAGAGTTTGGTCCCTGACCTGCTGGGATATAAGGGCAGCCCTGGATACCTGCTTTGATGCTTTTTAAATCCCAGAGACAACTCTCCCCACTCCTCCTCTCCCTTCCAGAACCTCTGGTGGATGACCATACTTTTCCATTCCTGGCCAGACCACTCTGGCCATCTTGCCCACTCCTCATCTGATGGCAGCTCAGCAAGTACAAACCTGTGTGAATATCAGCCTCAGATTTTCCCCAGGCAGGACAGTTGGGAAGATAGTGGGGCCAGGAATCACCTACTGGCAGGGGGAGCTGAGTTCTGGATTACCGGGGACCCAGCTCCTGCCCTCTGCCTGGGTAGCAGATCAGATTGTATCCACCAAGGTGCAGGCCTTGGAGAAGGCACTCCTCATACACAAACTCTGATCTCCCTGCCCCCCACCCCAGGAGAAAGGGTCTGTGCTGGAGGGTCTGGGGGGCATGCAAAGGAGGCATGTGGGTGGTGTATAAAGCCAAACAGCTCAAGTCAGCAACTGATCCCACTTGCTGTGTGACCTAGAGCAGATGGATCACCCTCTCTGATGTGTTTGCCCATCTAGAAAGAAGGACATCTGTCCTGCCTCTAGAGAGGGAGTCCTGTATAGCCCCCAGAAGCCCCTTCTGTGGATGACAGGAACTAGAGCCTGTACAGGGGAAGGTCAGGTGAGCCAGCCAGTTCCCTAGGACACTCAAAGATCATGAAGCCCACACCCCGCTTTCTGGCAGAACTGCCGGTAAGCCTGCCACCCACAGAGGCAGATCCTAATCTCTCCTGGAAGGCAATGGGCTCTGCAGTCCCAGGATCCCATGTCACCTTGGCTGGCCAGCTCCTACCCAAATTCCTCCAGCCCTACAGCATCCTGGGGGCAGGAGTGGGGACAATCTCTCATTTCTTCCCAGGCTCTCTCTCCCCACTTGGGGTAGGTGGATGCTCCCTGAAACCTATCATGACTGACATGTCCACCTTCCCTCAGCATAAGGTCTGACTCCAGCCTGCTATGTGACCTTGGGTGAATGGCTTGAGCTCTCTATGCCCCACACGGAACTCTATGCTGCAGTGGAGACAAAGGGAAGCGTGTTGGGAGCAAACCCTCTCCTGGCTTTCATTCTAACTCTTCTCCCACCTCTCAGCTGAATCCTCTGGCTCCAGAGAGGCATGGCTTGCCCAGGACTTGGGAGTGGTGGGGTGGGGGTGAATCTTGGTCTCACCTTGAAGTAAGGAAAGTGCTCCGTCATAAAATTGTAGATCTCGCTGACAGGAAGGCTCCCAGTTTTACTGTTCTTAAGGGCCATGAAGATGAGGATGCTGAAGGCAGAGAAAGCCCCTGAGTGTTTTAACCTCTAACCAGGCCCAGAGTGTCCCCCTACTATCTTCCCTGCCCCTGGAGTCTTCGAGGAGCAATGACTTGCTGCAGAATTAATGGGTGAGAGGCTCTATGAGGTCAAAAGGAGAAGGGATGAGAAAGCATCCACTGAAGTCAGGAATTACGGATACACGAGGAGGGTCTTGTGGAATCTGAGAGACCTGGGTTGTAATCCTGGCTTAGCCACTCACTAGGCTGTGTGACCTTGGGTGAGTGCCTTAATCTCTCGGAGCCTCAGTTTCCTCAGCTTTGAAGTGAAGAGAGTAATAGCTACCTCAGAGTTGTGAGGATTAAGGATGACGCCTAGCACATAGAAGGCACCCATTAAACGGAAGCTGTCATCACTAGTCAGCCCTCAGCCAATTGCATGAATACTGGATAGTAAGGGAGGCAACTAAGGTTTCTTGAGTCCCTACAATGTGCCAGGCATATTCTCTCACTTAATCCTGCCACAGGCCCAAATATTGCTGTTCTTTTTTTTTTTTTTTTTACAGATGAATAAACAGAGGCTCAGAGAGATTAAGTAACTTGCCTGAGGATTCACAGCTAGTAAATTCCAGAGCCTGGACTTGAACCAGTCTCCTGGACTCCGAGGATTGCGTGTGTCCTTTCTGTGCATCATCCCGCCTCCCACAAACCCCTTCTCTGTGCTCTTGGCTGATGTTTAGTTCTTTTTCTTTACCCTGAGCTCACACAGGCCCACGTGGGGCCTGGTACACGGGAGGTCGAGTGTCACTGTTGGTCGGTTGAATTCAAGTTCAGATGGAAGGTCTCCCGGATGAGTTGGGTGCTGCTGGCCTGGCACCTACAACCCCAGCCCCAGAGAAGTCGCACCAGGTCTGGCAGATGCTGGATAACTGAGTTGCATCTGCAGTCCTCATCCCTCACTTATCTCCACTAGAGCTTTGGGGTGGGGCTTCTCTCTGTATCTGAGTAGGGAGGGGAAAGGGGACAAGCATCCCCCTTAAATTCTCAGTCCCAGGCCCTAGGCCCCAGGAGGATAGAACTTAGCGGGCTCACCCCAGGGCACCAGATCTGCTGAGCTGAGCCACAAACATGGCTCCCCAGGTTTAGAGGAGAGGTCAGAGGTGATCTAGTCTATCCCCTTGCCCCCAGGCAGGAATCCCCTCTCCAGCATCCTCTGGAAGCCCACTGGGGATGACCTGTACTCCCTGCCGTTACCCTTATACCTTGAGGATTCTATGCCCCAGTTTCCCCAGGGGTCCTCTCACGCCTCTTCCTTCCACCCCAGGGGTGCTGGGAAACCTACCTGTAGGAGTAGATGGGTTTTGGGAAGAGAGGCTGGTGCCCATCGGTACTGGCCTGGGGTGCGATCCGCTGGTATGGATAGTGTGAGGAGCCCAGGTAGGGTACAGGGTAGCTGCCACCACCTGGTGAGTACTGTAGAGGTCAAAGGGGCAGAGTGGTTGCCATGGTAACCAGCCTTCCCAAGAAGGGGGTCCCCTCACCCCATTCATATACATCCAGAGATGGAGCTGAGGCTAGATTCTTTTCTCCCTGGTCATGGGCTCCATCACCCATGGTTATGGTCTCCAATGGCAGAGCTATCTGAGGAGACTGGCCAAGAGCGTAGACGTCTGAGGGCCTGTGAGGAGATCCACATTCCAGAATTCAGGATCTCAGAGGCCTCAAAGCTCCCTTCATCCAGCTCCTTCCTCTCACATTCTCCAGGTACTCTGGTTGCCATGGTGATGGGACAGCAGCCTGGCTGGGCTACAGAGTGTGAGGGGTAGCCCTGGCCCCTGCCCTCTTTCAGGCAGGCGCTCTAGGCCTCCTTGCATCTCCCGGAGTAGCTGGGCCAGAAGCGGAACGGCCAGCCTGGGCGTTTGCTGGGCACTGCCACCTTTTATGAGTTTCAGTGGCTCTTTGAAAGGGCTGGTCATGGTGGTGGGCAGGTGGGGGTAGGAGGTGGTTTTACAGCAAAGGGAGTGGCTGTGGTGCCAGGGATGGTGTTTTATGGGGGTGGGGGTGGGTGGTAGGAGACTCTGACTCCCCCATCTGCTCCAGGCTGAAGTGCTCTTTCCAGGTCACCTGAGAGGCACTTAGTGCCTGAGTCACCCTCTCTGCAGGCTTCATAAAGCCCTGGGTGCGGCCATCTTGTTCGAGGAGGGGGTGCGGAATGCAGAGGGCATCAAAGCAGGGCTGGGCACGGTGAGGCCATTAAAGGTCTGGTAGCCCCTTAGCCCTGCTGTGGCTCAGTCCCTGATAGGCCAGGCTGCCTCAGGGAAACCCCCTAGGCTGGCTCAGACTGTGAGCCTCAGGATGGCTTTGGCCAGTCCAGCCAGGCTCCTCACCACAGTGAAGATGACCCCTCTTGTGTTCCCTCTGCTTCCCTCCATCTCTTTCTTTCCCCCTACAAAGCAAGCTGTCTGACCTCCCCTCATCTCTCTCCCTCCTCCCCATCAAGTTCCTGCCTCCCTGGTTTGGCCAAGATCAGGGCCAATGCCAAAGAGCTGGAAGTAGAACCTGCTCCACAGGCAGGGCCTGTCTCAGTGCCAGGCTGCAGGTGGATGGAGCTGGGTGCTGGGCAGCCACTTGCTCCATCTTGCCCGGTGACTCCTGGGAGCTGCCTGGCTGCTCTAGGGCTCTTTTCTCTCTCTTTTTAAAAACCTCCATCCCATGCCAGTGTGGGGTAATTATTTGGCATCCTGTACATCTGGGAGGAGCTGAGGCTGGGCAGTGGGGTAGGGAAGGAGGAAAGGGCCAAAGATGATGGGAACTTGGAGACTCCAGGTGGGAAGGACCCTAACCCCACACCTGGTCCTACCCTGTCTAGGCTAAAGGGAGGTTTGAGGCCAAGGCCACACAGTAAGAGGGTTATTCCCTGCCCCGATAGGCCTTATATGTCACCCACACCCCCCCTTTCTCTCTGCCCATCTTTGTCTGGCTCCCTACTCCCTCTTTTTTCGTTCACATCTGGTCCCTGCCCTAATCTCAGCCCCACTCTTTTTTCTGAGACCTCTCAAGCCATGCCAGGGTCTCAGACAAGGTCCACCCAGCCCTAGAGAAGGGCAATTGCTTCCCTCCCTGTGAACCACTGTCCCCCACCCCGGGTGGCCCAGCCTGAGCTTCAGGGCCTTGCTGCCTGTACCTGCCCACCCAGGTGTGCACATACACATACACACTCACACACAGCACACCCACATAACATCCTGAGACCCCACGGAAGCAGGCCCACCTGCCCCAGACTCACCTGGTGGAAGGGGGGCTGGGAGGGACAGTACATGTGCTGCAGGGGGGGCTGGTAACAGTACATGCCAGGACCACTCTCCAGAGCCGGGGGCTTGACCTTAACTTCTGACCCCTGCTGGAAGAAAAAGCAGATGACCGGGCTGGGCCTATTTTTCTCCCTTCCTCTCTTGTGCATCTTGAACCTTACGCAAAAGCAACCCCTACTCTTCCTCCCCCACAGCTTATTCCAGGAGTACAGAGAACAGAGAAGGGCAGGGATTTTCCTGAGGGAACTCAGCAAGTTAGTGGTGGAGCTGGCGCTGGAACCAACAATGCTCCCTACATCCCACCTCACTGCAGGTGAGATGCTGAGGCTGGGCTGTCCAGAGAAGTAGGGGAGACTTGTCAGTCACTGCGGCTCGGGCAGGGCCAGGGATCTCCCCGGAGTGGCACAAGGGTGCAGTGCCTGACCCCACTCACCAAGCCTGGTTGCTGGTGCAGAGCCCCCAGCCTCTCAGAGCAGGTCTGCGAAGGACACGTGGAAAAGGCCACAGCTCTAGAATTCCCACTGCAGAGCCATGGTGAGGGGAGCCCGGGAAGTGGCCAGACAGGTTGGTCCAGCTGGGGCCCCCAGGGCCTGCCACTTCCTTTTCTGCAAAGCCCGAGGTGACTCCAGCAGGCTCCCTGGAGGGGGCAGGTGAGTCCTCTGTGCTCTATCTCCCGGCCATTGCCAAATGGGAGCCTTTGCTCCCTGCTCCAGGGAGTCGACCCAGTTGCTGCTCTGCATGAGCCCCATGGCCCTCTCTCACCCTGGCACAGGGAGCCGACAGCTGCTGCCTGTGAGGGTGGCCAGACTCTGGCTTCCTATGGATTGTGAGCCCCACCTGGAGCCCCCAGAGCCTAGCACAGAGCTCTACCCTGAGTAGGGACAGGAGCGGTGTAAGCTGGGTACTGGAAGGTGAACAAGGCCAAGAGGAGGTGGACCACTCTTCCTGGGGTTACCAGGGGCCTTGGGAAGCAGCGTCTGGGCCCAGAGGGTCAGATCAGCTGTGAGCTCTTCCTGGGCATGCCCTGGGGTTGCTGATGCAGAGATTGCCATACTCATAGAATCTCAGGCCTGAGAAGGGCCGAGAGCACTGTGTCCAACCCCCTCATTTGTCAGATGATGGGGCTGAGCCCATAGAGGGGAAGCGATGTCCCCAAGGTCACCCAGCGAGTCGACCAGCTTGCTGTGGGTCTCTGGGCTGAGCTCTTCTCCACTGTGTGGGAGGGTAAGGACGTGGGCTTAAATCTCAGCCTCTCCTCTTACAGGCCAAGGGACAAGTCATTTGGCTCTATGGAGCCTCAGTTTCCTTATCTGCAAAATGAGGATAGTGGGAACTCTTTAGAGGCTTGTTGTGAGGATTAAACGGGGCACTTGAGAGAAAGCATCTGGCATGGTGACCAGGGGCTGTTGCTGAGTGGACGTTTGGGGGGTGGTAGCTGGTGTGATGGTGCCCTCACTGTGAGCTGCTGTCAGGTTTGGTGGCCTGAGGAGAAAACATCAAAGGGTCCCAAACCAGAACCAGGTCCTGTCTCAGCCACACCTCGTAGGTGCCCAACCCCTTCTCTATCTTCCAAGCCTGGGAAATAGGCCTTTCTTGGGGGTGGCTTGGGGATGGAATGGGAGCCCATTTGAAAGCAAGAAGTGAGGAGGGGTGGTGAGCACTGAGTGGGTTCAGCCTGGGCTGTGCCTAGTCCAGATGCCCACCACCTCGGAGACCTCCAAACCAGAGCTGGGGAATGGGGAGCAAAGCTCCCTTTAGCTTTCCTCTTCCTAAGGCAACAATCTAATGAGGCAGGTACTGTTAACCATACTTTTCAGATAAGGCTCAGAGAAATTAAGTGACTTTTCCAAGGTCACACAGCTCGTGAGTATGGCTGTGGAAGGACACGTTGACCTTCCAATGTGCTTTCAAGGTATTTCTGTGAATACACCCAGGCCCCACTCTGGGCAAAGAACAGGACCTGGAAGGTCCTTTGAGAAGACTTAAGTCTTCTCTCAACTCTGTATGCTAATGCTGGAGAGGGGAATATTGTATTCTGTGGTTCCTCGATAAACCCTTTCTCTTGGCCTCTGGAATGTGTTTTTCTTCTCACATTTGCATATGGGCGTGTAGGTCTAGCTGGGGATTCTTGACACTTAACAAGCAGAGAGAAGTCACACACTGGAATCCTGACTCAGGAGCCTCTGGGAAGCTGCCAGCTTCCTTAGCCTGACCTCCCCTCCTTACCCCCTCCATGCCAGGCCAGGCCAGCATTCCCTTCCCAGCTGGCCTGGAAGCCCAGAATGAAGCCAAGAGACTCCACATCTCTCAGCTTGCTGCTTGCCTTGCGCACACTGAGCCTGAGTGGAAAGGTCTGGAAAGGGAAGGCAGGGAGTTGAATCTCAGAGGACTCATTCTGGGCTGCCGGGAACTGAGACAGGGAGTAGGTGGGATGCCCACTGGCCACCGGTACTCACCAAGACTTGGGGGCTGTGCTCCTGGCTGGGGTAGGGGAGCCCGTTGCACCAGGCCTCTGTTGAGAAGCCAGGAAGGAAGGCCTCAGCTTCCCCCACTTCCACGGGGATCTCCTCGAAGGCCTCCAGCGCCCCTGGGGTCTTAAAGGAGTGTCCATCGAGGGCCAGGGCAGTCTGGGCCTCGGGGAAGATGTCCTCATGGAAATGCCGCTTGTATGGGTGAAAAGGCACGTGGCTGCCCTTGAGGAAGCGCCCAGGGCTGCTTTCTGGGCCCTCCTCAAAGCTGAAGCCAGGGTACTTGTCTGAGGTTGAGAGCCGGAAGGGGCCCGGGCCGGGGCCAGCTGGGCAGTGGACTTGCTCGGGGCCTGGTGATGCGATGCTGGGGCTGTGAGGGGGCAGTGAGGGTGCCCTCTCTGGAGGGTCATCAGGCACAAACGATGAGCAGCTGAAGCTGGCATGCTTCTGGGGTGGACAGAGGGTAGAGAGCCTGTGAGTGGAGGCTGGACTAGGACCCTACTCTGTGCTAAGGTGACGGGGTCTGTGGCTGAGCTCTGGGGAGCCCCTAAATGATGGAGGAGACATAGCCTGCCCTTGGATGCCCCAATCTGATGAAGGCACATTGCTCCTAAACCTGGGGTGCCCCCAGTCGGGTGGATGCACAGCCCTGCGCTGGGAAAGCCCTAGACTAAAGGGGATAAACAGAGGCCCATAGCTGTGTGCTTCCGGATTGTGGAGTCACTGGGTACTTGTTTGCTGGTGGAAGGGTTAAGACAGACCCCGGGAGGCCTCAGCCCAGTCCTAGGTGCCAGGTACTTACGCTCTGTGGGGCAGGGGAGCCCGGGAGGCCCGGCGCCTGCATGAGGTCCCCTTGGGGCTCGCCCTCCAGTCTGGCGGGGCCCGGCAGCGTGACGTCAGACTGTGGCTGGAGTAGCGACACCATCACCCACTCCTGGCCTTGAAGAAAGCCGGCTGTGATGAGAGCGAGGACCAGAGTCCAGGGGTGACCAACCCCAAGTTGACCACCTCCACTCCCACCCCATCCCTGGGCTGGGACCCTGACTCCAGCCAAACATCTGATGAGAGAGAGTGAGAGACGCAGACAGACAGACAAACTGAGAGAAACATCAGAAACAGAAGGAAGCAGATAAACAATGTGAGAGACAGAGCAAGAAGGAGACAGAGAGAGGGAAGACTGGTGGAGAGAGAGCAAAATGAGCCCGTTAGGAGCTTCCACCGACCCCCCCAGGAGGAAGGCCTTGGCTGCTCTCAGGCTCTGCAGCTGCAGAGGAGTGAACCAGTAGTGGTTCCCAGAGAGACCCTGCCTCCGGCTCCTTGGAACCGTCTCCTGTCTCCACAATGAGGGACTGGGCTAGGTGACAGTGGCAAGCAGTCTCTGTTCAGTGGCAGAGCAAGTGGGTGGTCCTGAGAGGAAGGGGAGCTAGAAAGGGGGTCAGGCCCAGGCCTGGGGTGGGAGTGATCCTCACACTGCAGGTGACCCAGCCCTCTGCAGAGGCTGGGCCTACAGTACCACCCTCGGGGGCCTTGGTCTGGCTGGCATGACCACAGTGTGCAGCCAGGGACTTGCAGGGACCTGGTTGCCTGGTGGCCCTGTGAGCCAGGCACAGTACCGAGGACGCTGCCACTGGCCCACTGTGGAATGTCTGGCATGAGCTGTTTTCTCCCGCATCCTCCAAACTCTATCTCGTACCTGCGGCTTTGCGCAGGCCACTGTCCCGTCTAAGCTTTCATTTCACCATCCAAAAAACGAGGGGCTTGTACGATGATATCTGAGGGCTCTTTTGCTCAGACCTTCTAGAATTATAGGAGAACTCTGTCCCCAACACAGCCAAGTGGTAAGAGGACTCAACTCAAAGCCAGCCTTTGCCTTTCCCTGCTAGCTGTGTCAGCGAAGCTCTCTGAGCTTCAGCAGCATCATCTGCAAAACAAGGAAAGAGACAGGGCCTCCCTCATGGGGATGCTGTATTAATGAAATCATGCACACAATGTATTTAGCGCGGTGCCTAGCACGTAGTAAGTGTTCGATAAATGCCAGCTCTCGTTATTAGTATCATCATTAGTATGCCTCTTACTACTATTGTCATCCTCTGCCTTCATTCTCCACCACCTGCAAAAGGTAGTTCCTCTTTTTTTTTTTTTTTTTTGTGAGGAGATCAGCCCTGTGCTAACATCTGCCAATCCTCCTCTTTTTTTGCTGAGGAAGACCGGCCCTGGGCTAACATCCGTGCCCATCTTCCTCTACTTTATATGGGATGCCACCACAGCATGGCTTGCCAAGCAGTGCGTTGGTGGACACCTGGGATCCGAACCGGCAAACCCAGGGCCGCCGCAGTGAAGTGCGCACACTTAACCGCTTGCACCACCAGGCCGGCCCCAAGGTAGTTCCTCTTGAATTTACTCCTCTTTGCCCAGGGAGTCCCTGATAAAGGCTGGTCATTGTGTAAATGATTTGGAGAATTTTCTCACTGGTTTGTCAGAACAAACCTGTGTGGAATGTACGTTTTTAACTCCACTCTCCAGATGAGGAAACTGAGGCTCAGAGGGCTTACGTGACTTGCCCAAGTCACATAGCTAATCCTTGATAGAGTTGGATTTGAACCCAGCCCTGTCCGACTCTGGAGGCTGCATTCCTCTTACAGTTTCTTGATTGGGTGGGGTCAGAGTGGGGATGGGATAAGTTGGGGGCCAGGCAACTAGAAAAGCATAAGGTTTACACTTACCCCTCCTACCCAAGACCCCCCACAAGCAGAGCAGGATAATTGTGCACTTCCCAAGCCATGCTGTCTCGGGATCTCTGGGAGGGAGGGATGGCCTCAATGGCCCCATGGTGCCCAGCCCGGGGTTGGTACATCTTTGGTAAATAAACTGTCCCCTTCACTTGACAGGGGAGTAATGGGGACAAGGAAAGGAGGGCATTGGCCCAAAGTCTCTTAGGGAATCAGTGGCAGAGGGGGCTAGTGGCTGGGGTCCAGGTGGAGGCCTGGTGGGAGGCTCTCCCGCCCCTGCAAGAGTCTCCCCCGCCCCTTCTCCGTGTCCTGGCGCCCGCTCACTCGGCACTGCTAAATGTGGCGTGACCAGGGAAGCGCCGAGCTGGCCGTAACTGGACACCGCAGTGGAGTAGGCCTGGGGCCCAAGGTGCAGGGTAGCCCATCTCTGGCTCCGCATGACCGCCCGACCTGGCTCGCGCTCCCTGGACAGCTCCTGGACAGCTCGGGCCTGCCTGCCACGCCTGGCCCCGGCCCAGAGCCGCTCTCCCAAGGCGTTCTCCAGCACCTCCAGAGGCAAGGCTGGGGGCTCCTCCACCCCTCAGGTCTCCGGCTTTGTAACCCATGGGGCGGTGGTTGCTCTCTTCTCCGGGGGCAGAGTAGCATGTGGTTAAGAGGAAAGGTTTTTGATTTGGGCCAACCTGAGTTTGAGTCTCAGCTGTGTCACTTCCTGGCTGTGTGACTTTGAACAAACTGTGTAATTCTCGTATCTCACTTTGCTCCTCTAATAAACGGGGCTTGTGGACCCACCTCATAAGGATGTCACGAAGATTAAGTGAGATGATGTGTATAAGGTACTGGCACATAGAAAATGCTCAAGGACACATGTTGTACATCTGGCCTCATTGGACAGATGTGGCTGTGGCTGTGACCCCAGACTCTAGTTTCCCTGATACTCTTGCTGCTTCAGGCCTGGCAGGCCTGGGGAGATTGGCTGATGATCCTATGCCCAGGTGGCAGCTGCCCTTGCTAGCCTTGCCCTGTCTGCCTGGGCTTCACGCAGCCTGGCCTCAGAGGGCTCAGACTCCAGCTCTGCTCCTCTGAGACATGAACCTGAGGAGGCCTCTCTGAGCCCCGGCTTGGGCCGCACCTCCCACTGGGGGTTTGGCCTCCCCAGAAGGACTCCTGCAGCATCTGCCTTACTCCCATCCTTGCCCCAGCCACTATGTCCCAGGACATTATCTGTAGCCCTGGCTGAGTTTCTGCATGTCAGAGGCCTTAACTGAAGACTTCAGTTTACAGCCATGACTTTCATATCGTTTCATTGGCTTGGCCAAACCACCACCCCACCTTCTCCAACCCCCCAGGGACAGGATTAGAACCAGGGAGGCTATGCAGAGTTCAGAGGCCAGCCCCTTGATTTGCATTGAGGATGCAGAAGTCCCTGGATGGTCCTCAGTGCAGGGTTTCCTCTGGGTAGGTTTTGTAAATGATGACTCCTGATTCAGTGATACCTGCTTGGTTGCCTCAGCAGAAGCTATATTCTACAGATGAGGAAAGGAGGCCCAGAGAAGAGGTTAAGTGACTTGCCTAAGACCACACAGCCCAGGAAAGAGGGAGTTCTCCACCAACTGCTTTCCAAACGGCCCTTCTGCCTCAGGGGCTGGGCAGAAGGTCTTTAACTGGTATATATGGGGGAATCCTGTCAAGCACAGGGACGGGCTCACTGTGGGGAGAGGGATGAGGCTACCTTGGCCCCTCACCCCTCCCTGGAGTAGCTGGTGGAGCTTCTGAAGATGAATGATCTAGTTCAGAGGCTCTAGAATCAGGATAGGATTTGAATCCCAGTAACTTTGGGACTTTGTTTGGGCAAGTTGCTTAACTTCCTTCCCTGGGCCTCAGTTTCCTCATCTGTAAAATAGGGCTAATAATATATATGTCTCTGGAGGATTAGACGAAATATTGCTTGTAAATAGCTTAATGCGTAGTATATGCTCAATAAATGATAGCTATTATTAATAATTAACAGTGGGACAGAGTTAATTGAAAGCATGAGCTCTGGAGGTGGGAGGCAGGAAAGCAGAGGGAACTCCTCTTTCTTGCCTCCCACCTCCGTCTCCCTGACATCATCCTCCCCTATTGACAGAGGCTACACTTACCTCCTCTTGACTCTCTGGCCTCAGAGATCATTTCAGCCATTCCCCTGTGGGAGAATGGCTGTAGAAACTCCCAGGGACTCAAGTAGGAAGGGGGTGGGGTGAATCTTTCTCTGGATCCCTCAGGAGGCATCTTTGATGGCTCCATTAAGAGCCATCTGCATTCAGAAGGAATCTTTCACTGAAGTCTAACCTCTATCCTACCTACTTCAGTTTCAGGGAGCGCTATGGGAGGTGTGTCTGCAAATATCAGCAAACCAAGGCAGGAGGTCCAGGCAGCTCTCCTCCTTCCTCAGATCCCAGAAGCTACCCCGGGTGGCACTCTTGACGCTGCCACTTAGTGTGGGCTCCCACAACCCACAACCTGCGCCCTTCCTGGGCTAGAGCTACCCCAGGGCTCTCCATGGTGGATGGTGCCCTGGGGTCCCTTCAACCATAAGGATGATCATCATCACAACCCTGCGTCTATAAAGCACTCTGCAGTTTACAAAGCACCTTTGTGTCTATCATCTCATTTCATCCCCTCTTTGCCCCAGAGGGTAGCAGGTTGTGGTGTGCTGGAGCCAGCTGCTATAGGCTTGCGAGAGCCGATTGTGCCCACCTCGTCCCAATTCCACGTTCAGTGAAGCTGGCCGAAATCGGCCACAGTGGGAGTATTTACCCATGGAAATTAGCAAATACTACAAATCAGAGCTATTTTTTTCTTATTCTCTTTTTGGAGAGCTGGTTGGTGAATGTTTATTATTAGCACACCACTGGTAGGGGAGCAAGGTCATTGACTCCATTTTTCAGGGGAGAAAATTGAGGCCCAGACAGAAGTGACATGCCCAGGGCCAAATAGCTAAAACTGAAAACCACATCTCTTGATTCTCAGGCCTCAAGAGTTCCAACCACATCCCCAAACACACACACTCCAGGGGTGCAACCCTGGCGAAACATTAGCTGAAGACATTTCAGTATCTGGGCATTCTGTCTACCTTCTGCTCTCTGAACTTCTCCTTCCATGATCCATGGGGAGCGGAAGGGCAGGACTGGGGTTGGAAGATGTAGACTCGAGGGGCCGGCCCCATGGCGCAAGCGGTTAAGTGTGCGCGCTCCGCTGCGGCGGCCTGGGGTTCCCCGGTTCGGATCAGGGGCACGCACCGACACACTGCTTGGCAAGCCATGCTGTGGTGGCGTCCCATATAAAGTGGAGGAAGATGGGCACGGATGTTAGCCCAGGGCCAGTCTTTCTCAGCAAAAAGAGGAGGATTGGCAGATGTTAGCACAGGGCTGATCTCCTCACAAACAAACAAACAAACAAACAAACAAAAAGAAGTAGACTCGATCTTCCCTGGAGTCAGAGGAAAGAAAGAAATGCCTCTCTAAACTGAGTAAGGAGCATGACAAGTAAGAAATTCCCCAGAAAGCATAACAGGATCAACAATGATCATTACTGAATCCCTGCTCTGTGTTCTTCTCACAAACAGCCGGACCCTGTGCCCCCTCTACCCAGCACATCTCCCCACCTCTCAGAGACCCCTTTCCTAACCCCTTAGGACTCAGGCAGACGGGGCCATTTGGGGGTGGGGTCGGGGGCCACACTGTTTGCTGGTTGTATGACCTTGGACAAATCACTTCTTTCCATACTCAGTTTCCTTATAAATAAAATGAGGTGTAGGGACCATTTGCATCTCAAGATGCTGAAGCTGGTCCTGTGGATGTGTTATGGTCCACAGAGTTGTCAGCAGGGCCCTCACCCCTGCTCTGCCTTCAGGAGGGACTTCCCTGAGGAAATCCTCAAGGGCACCAGGTACAGCTGGGTAAGTTATTATACCCCACAAGGGAGGTGCTGTATTATCACCCTCGTTTTATAGACGAGGAAACTGAGGTTCAGAGAGGTTAACCTGACTTGCCCAAGTTCACTCAGCTAGTAAATTATGCTCCCCAGGATTCAGACACAGGCTTCAAAGCCACTGTGCTTAACCACTACGCTACATGGCCCCACCTCAGGAACACCTCAGCTTCCTTGCTCACACCTGGAAGCCAGAGTGGTGGCTCAGGGACAAGGTTGGAGGTTTCCTTGGGAGGGTCTGTCCCTGCATCCCCTGTGGGCAGCTGAGTCACAGAGGACACTGAAGGCCCTCACTGGGCTCTCTCCACACACACTTCCTCCCACTGGGGCTGCCTCCTACCTGGCCTTTATAAGAGAGGTGGAGACAGCGCAGTTCCGCCTTAATGGTTTCTGTTGCTGGCTGCGGCAGCATGTTTTACAAGGGGTGGGGTCTGTGCCCAGTGCTGCCTGTGGCCCCACCTGGGGCTCCGCCCACCTGGCTCCTGGGAGGGGTCCCCTGGAGCAGCTCGGTAATTACCTAAGTCAGGAGTGGCAGGCAAGGGCCTGGGGGCCGCTCCTGAGGTTTGGGTACCCTAGAATACTGGGAGTCTGGGGGAGCCAAGAAGGAAAAGTTTTCTAGCTCCTCTCCTCCCATTAAGGTTGGGGGTTCTGAGGCCAAAATTCTGGCCCCTCTGGCCCTTGACCCTGCCTCGGTTTCAGGAAATGGGTCAGCTGTCCCTGCCTTGAGATCTGATTAAAGCGCTTTGAGAGGCAGCTACAGACAGAAAGGGCAGGGGATGGAGTGGGGAAGAACAAAGGATGAAGAACAATCATGTCCTCCATGTGATGCTTTCCTCAAACCTGAGCCACTGACACCTGCAGCTGAGTCATTCCCATCCCCCAAATCAGGGCTGTCCAGAAGCTCTTCAGTCATTCCCCTGCCTCTGGAAGTAGGCCAGTCCTAGAGTAGTACTCGGTATGCCCATCCTGAAAAAGTACTTGAGCCAGCTTCCATGCCTGGGGCTGACCTAGAAGTTCTTTCAGATATCTAACCTTAATCTCTCTTGCCCTATCCTTCCTGACATTCACCAAGGGACCCTCCAGAGACTAGTAGATGGCAATGGACTCATCCCTTCTCCAGGGTGCGTCCCAGACTGGCTGCGGATGCCTGACTCCAACAGCTTCCTGTTTTCCCCTTCTCCTTTGCCCAGCACGCCTTCCTTTCCACCATCCCTGGCCACCTCTGGGCAGCTTCCCATCTTTCCAGCCCGTCCCCAGCCCCTGCCACCCAGCCTTGGCCCCAGAGGAGCTGAATCCAAGCACTCACAGTGGGTTCTGGGCCATGGCCACCATCACGGCTTCGGGGAGTCACTCAGCCCAGCAACATCCCAGGAGCCTCTATTGAGGTATAAATACTCCCATATGCCTGGACCGGCCCCCTGCCTGAGGGCTGGGGTGGGGCTACCTCCCCAGGCCAGGCAGGCAGGTCACATGCCCCATAAATGCCAGAGGACCACAGGCCCTTCCTAGCAGCCGTGGGGAGACTGATTGGGGCCTGACCTCTCTGAATGGATAGATGATGGATGGGTGGATGGATGGATGAATGGATGGGTTGGTGGATGGATGGAAGGATGGATAGGTGGGTGGATGGAAGGACAGATGGGTAGATGGAATGGACAAATCAATGGATGGACAGATTGATGGAGGGACAAATGACAGGATATAAAGCTGGACAGATGGATAAATAAACAGATGGACAGACAGATGGATGAATGGACAGCGGGACAGATTGATGGGAGTCCTTGACCTGCCTGTGGATGCTGATTTGGTAGATGGGAAGGAAGGGATGCTTGGTTTTAAGGAAACAAGAAATGCTACCCCTCCAAGCTCCCATCTACCCCTTTCTGAGACATACCTACCAGGACCCCCTTTCACCTCTGCTATGGCTAGCTGGTCTAAGAGACTGGCTTTGCTGGGTTCTCCTACTCCTTAGATGCCGCTTTCCAGAGACCTCCCACCTAAACACCTGCAGCCCCCAGGGATCTTTTGCTCTCACTCTTGGGTGTCATTCATGGTCTTTCCTTTCTCCTGCCTACTCTGGAGTCCAGGCTCTGGGGCCGTGAGCCCACCTCCAGATCTTGCTCCCAGAAGCAAGGTCAGCTTGCCCTCCAAGGTTAGCAGGGGGAAGGGGAGGCAAAATTCTCAATTCTAAGAACATGAGACCCTTAGACGGGCAACTTAGGGAGAAGGTGTCCCCCACCCCCTCTTCCCCAGGGACTTTTAAAGGCATGACTGGGTCTGATGGTGAAAACAGGCCTGGCAAGGGACTTGTAGGTGGGCAAGGTGACCTAGAACCATTGGGGGCCTGACTGGAGAGCTGGTCTCCTCGTGGGTGGGGACTTCTTGTCTGCTTAATCCTCTCATGGGAAGTGTGCAGAGAGCAGTGGTCTGAGGCCTTAAACACTGATTTCTACAGAAGAAAGTTTCTTCTAATCCTCAGTCTGCCCAGCTGTGAAAGGGACCCAAGGGTAGAAGATGAGTTGGGGAGTGACTGAAGGAACAGGAGGATTTTTCACAGATCATGAAATATCACCTTTATCCTTCCTTACAACAAGCTTCCTCCAGCCATTCGGGCTGAAGGAGGGTGGAGAAATCGGCTGGAGGATGGGATGAAGTTGCTTGCCTCTAAGCACCCATTAGCTCTGTGGTCCTGTGGTCCTGAAGTCCCACCCTCATAATGAATGAGGACAGATTGATGAATGAAGTCATTCAGGGCTGAGCCTGGTGGTTCCACCTCCAGCATCCTGAGGGCCACATTGGTAACTGGCTGCTGAGTTGATTGGCTATGGCAGTGAAAGGCAGCTGAGGATCTGAGCTGTGACACCAACGGGGATGACTGGGACCTTGTTTCATCTCATCCCCTAGCTTGGCATTTATCATCTCAGAAGCCCCCAGCTGCCCTACAAAGCCCCCCTTTGCCCTCACAGGGAGTCCTTCTGACGAAGGACCCCAGAAACGTCCTCTCCCATCTCTGCCACCAGTGTGTGCTGGTCACGGGAATGAACCTCATTTCCTCCTTTATGAAATGGGATCCTCATCTTTGCCTTACGTACCTCACCTGGCTGTCCTAGGGACTGAATGAGAACCAGAATGTCAAAATGCTCTAAGGAAAATAAACCAACACTATCTTGTCTGGTTACCCCTGCCTCCTCTGCTAGGGTCCCGGGCTCATGGGATTTCAGGAGAGAGATGGGGTCTGAGATCTTTTCCCCTTCAATCGTTTGCCCTTCCCAGGGTGCTCCCCATGGGGGTGGTCAGAAGTGCTCACATCCAGCTGGTGGGCCTCTCTCTGCCTGCCCACCTTAGTGGGGGCATGAGATGGCTCAGGATCCCACCATCCCTTGGGCCAGGGGCTTCTTGCACTCTGTACATATCATTGTCAGAAGGACTGCTCATTATTACCAATCTATTATTAGGGATATTAATTCTGCCACCACTGCTAATAATACAGATCTAGTGCAAGACAAATACCTACTGGTGCAGCCCCTCCCCGCACTGTCCAGAGAGCACGTGCGCACACACGAGGCAGACAGTAAGTTAACTGCTTGGACTTACCAAACTTTGGAGTGAGGAAAGCAGTGGGAGGCCCTCCCACCCAAGCCCCTTTCTATTTGATGGGGAAACTGAAGAGCCACCAGCAGAAGGGATTATTCCCCGCACTGCAGGTACCTGGGCATGGGTCCTTCCTCCAGGCAACTGGGCTGAGTGAAGCTGGCTCTGAGTGCCCAGTCATTCCCTTGCCCATCTGAGGAGAAGGATGTGGAGAAGTGGCAGGTTCTGGGGCCGCTTCCCTGAGCCCATCCAACTCCTGGGGTCCAGCCCCTAACTTTCTCTCAGATCCTCTTGGGCTTGTCATTGTCATCCTGAAGAACTTTCTCACCATAACTCTTCCCATCTCTGGCAGATTGGACATATTCATGGGAAGGCCCAGAGAGACTGAGCCTCCTCTCCAAAGCCACGTGCTCTGTGGGGCCCAACATGGGCTCCAGGAACCCCTCCAGAGGGAGCTGGGGACATTTCTGACAGTGAACACTGCTGCGATCACCCTGGCTCTGTTGGGGGGAACTGCTAAGGGCAGAGTCTGATAATTGGGTTTTCTGATCAGGGTGATGTGTGTGTGTCCTCATGCACATCCTGTGCCTTCCAAGACTGATGGGCTGGTATAGTCTGGGACATGGCTGTGGAATTTACAAGTGTGGGTGGGATCTCCAACTGTCTCCGACGATCCGGTTCCAGGGACACTCCCCATTCTGGGCGTGTGTGTGTGTGTGCGTGTGTGTGTGTGAGTGCGCGCCTGCGTGTGTTGGTGTCCAGCCTGGCTGTAGTTTGTCAGAAGCAGTAGTTTCAGACTGGGGGAGCAGGGTTTGAAGTTGACTGACCATGCATCCTCCCATGTGTGTGGGGTAGAGGATTAGGGTCAGAACTCCCAGTGGGCTTTCTGTTGTGTCCGGGGGGGAGTCTTGAGGGTTACCCCCCACCTCCCATCCCCCACCCCCCTTGAGCTTCCAGAGTAGCTGTGAGAGCATGGGTTCCCTTCTCTCTGTGACTCACAGCTGGCTCTCAACTCAAGTTCCCTGAGAGATCACGATTCAGCTAATTCTCTCCTCGGCCCCATTAATCTGAGCTGACTAAGCAAGAGCCACAGGCAGGGTAGAGACCAGGGGATGCTCACAACAGCAGTCCTTCCTAAACAACCTGGCAGGCCTCCTTGCTTCAGCTTCTGTCCATGTCCCTGCCTACAGCCTGGCCATGCCTAATTGCATTGGTTATGCTCCCAGCCCGCTGAGAAAGGTTGCTACTGCCTCCGTTTGGGACTCTTTGAGCATGTCTCTCCATCTCTCACCTCCACCTGCCCCCCACCTGCAGTATAGAGAGGTCCATCTGGACATCAGACCTCAACTTGTCTTGTTGTACTTGAATTCATTTTTGCTGTTGGGCCAGCACCCAGCCTTTAAGGACCAGATAGGGTCAGGAAGCTGAGGGCCTCTCCAGGGATGATACCATCCAATCCGTTTTGTCCTAGTGGCATGGCTCTGGGCTTTTCCTAATACTAAGAGAATGTGGAGGACATACTAGGACCTGGTGGGGACGATGATGAGGGGGGTTGGACTCCAAGGCTGATCTCTGACGTATGGAGAGAGACATCCTGGGGAGGTGGGGATGGTGAGGAATGGGAAGACGGGGTTAGGGATGAGGGTGGAGGTGGGGCTGAGGGGGTGAGGTAGAGGCAGAAGAGAGGGATGAGTTTGTGGAGATGGAGGTGAAAATGGGGATGGGAATGGGGAGTTGGATAGGAAGAGGGTTGGGGTGGGGTTGGAGATGGGGATGGGGATAGGGTTGGGTTGTGAAAGAAGATAGGGATGGAGTGGAGGGGTTAGGGATGGTGTAGGGGTTGAGGTTGGAGATGGGCACAGAGATGGAGGAAGGGAAAAAGGATGGGGATGGATAAATTGAAAGACCAAAATCACTCAGGGCCCTTCGACTGATGCTTCTGAGATGCACTCTCCCCGAGGTCATCTTGTCATTCCCCTGCTCCTGGGCATGTTGCCAGCCCGACCGCACTGGTGCCAGATCAATGCTTGCCTCTCCACTCAGGAAACCACCTCCTGTGGTCACATAGTCGAGCCAAACTCAATTTAAAATGCTGAAAAGTCTCTCTGAAGTCTAATGTCGATGTCTCCTGCTGCAGAAGCCAATCTCTGCTTGCTGAGCTCCCCCCTGCTGGCCTCAGCAGGGATAGCAGGCTGTGACTTGGAAGGAAAGAGGGGAGGGCATACCTGTGGGACCTCTGTCCCCTGCATCTTTCTTTCTTTCCTTTTTTTTTTTTTGTGAGGAAGATTGGCCTTGAGCTAACATCTGTGCCAGTCTTCCTCTATTTTGTATGTGGGACGCCTGCCACAGCATGGCTTGATGAGTGGTGTGTATGTCTGCACCTGGGGTCCGAACCAGTGAAGCCTGGGCCACCAAAGCGGAGTGCGAACTTAACCGCTATGCCACTGGGCCATGGCCCCTGCATCCCTCTGCTATGAGGAAATAAGGGGAGGTGGGCAGAAGTGGCTCCCAGCAGCTCCCTCCTCATTAGAGTATGGAGCTGGAGAAACTAAGACGGGCACTGGGCATGGGGCCTTCTTTCTGTCCCTTCCTGTATACAAGCTCCCAGGAAATTTCAATGTGACCTAGTAGCAGTCTCTGGCTATGGGCTTGAGCCCTGGGCAGTGGGAGTTCTGCTGGTCCGTGAAGACTCAAGCTGGAAGGAGGGAGGTTAGACATCAGGAAGGACTTCTTGGCTGGGAAGGATGGAGAGCCCATGGGAAGTGGTGCTATGTTGCTTTCTTAGAGGGCAGATGGGACTCTCCATGAGGGCTAAAGGCAGGCTTTCCTTGAGACCCAGGGGTCACATGATAGCTTCCCAGAAGGCACATGTCACTGGTGGGCTTTCCCCTTGTCCTTAACTGTCCCAAGCCTTCTCCCCTCTC